ACTAAAGACTGTTGGCACAGTGACACGGAGTTGTACTGATGCCGACATACAGACGCCGTAATTTCGAATACTTGATATCAGTGAAAAAAGAACGAGATGCAATTTTTCACAAAGTTGACTGTACTTTCCTGCCGAAACATGGCTATAGATGATGTAATTACTAGTCATATTTGGTATAGGGAAGACGAAGCTGTTTTAGATAATTGAAGGAAAATGAACAGTATATGATATTCTATTGGTGTGATGTGATTTGAGTCTGAGCCATTTATAGGTGGTCTGTGATGCACTAGCCTACTCATTCATGCTAGATTTACAACTCATGAAGCGCATCGTACACCACGTTGAGTTTTAGAAAAACTAATTTTTTTGTTGGTCGCTCAGATGAATTAAGGTATCTGCAAGGTTCCGAAAAAGAATTTGAAAGACAGCTTTTACAAAGAAATTTTGATTAAACTTTCTTCCACAACATGATCATCAATGCGGTAAATAAAAAAAATGGTTATATATATGGTTTATATTACTGAGCAGGTTGGTCACAGGAAGCAAAGACATTATGTTGTGTCACTGAGTGACAAGAATGTAAATGTTAAAGTTTTGTTAAGAAATGCTATACTTCAAATTAACACTGTTCCAAATCAACAAGTAGGGCTATAAAAACTTAATAATAATGAACCCATTGTGATATGAGAAGGAGAAACTGAAAGCTTACCTCGATTTGTTCAAATTTCAACAAAGAAGATGGCTAAATAGAAACCCTGGTTTAACTTTCAAAACGGCATTGATGTGACATCAACTTGTTTCTAAGCTGGAAACAGTGAGTGGTCATTTGAATATTTAAGAGTGTACAGATAAACCTGTAGCGTGGAGTCGAGTCGCTGTTACCTATGAACACCACTATGGAGATATGACTGACAAGCTTATTTTGTAAATAGTTTTTAATATTATATTATATTATATCATCGGTATTCTCAAACGATAACACACTGCATCTTACTAACGTTTATGTCATATCCATCTCCACAACTTTTGTTAGTTATAACTGTAAATATTATTTGTGTATACATGTATATATCATATTTTTACTTTTTTTGTTATTATAACCAGTGTTACCTCCGGACACTCTGGGGGGGGGAGCTATATGGAGATATGACTGACAAGCATATTTTGTAAATAATTTTTAATATTATTTGTATCTGTTTTGTCAACCTTTCACTGTATGTATATCTAACATTAAATGACTGTAACTGTTGTTTTAGTAAATGACCTTGAACACACTTTGCCGTTGTACAACCACATAGCGTGACACTCTTGCTGGCTAACAAATACACTACTACTTACACACTCCCTGTTCTATTCTCACTCGTTATCGAGCCAAACGCATTCTAAATCGAATATTATCCACATTTTAGACTGTTGTGCTTTTACTATTACATCCTACGTCAAGGAAACTTACTGGAGTCACATTTATCTCATCGGAGTAATTACTCATTTATAATTGTGGATTTTGGTACCAAAACTCAGCGGAATACGCGACAACTAGCTGATTTAAGTAATGACCCTGAACTTTTATTTTGTGTTACTAATTTATAAATTGTTATTGTTACATTAACGTTTGGACGTAATAACTTTATTGCTAATTTTTGGTTATTATACATTTTGGTCCACCACACCACTACAAGATGAGCGCGTACTAGAAAATCAGAAGGCAGATGAAAGCCGTAACAAGGTTTATTCGTTGGCGATCTCGTGGTATCGAAAGTATACCGGGATCGTGCCAAAGGAAATACAAGTGGAATCAGTGGGCAAATGTGCGAGCGTACAAGGCCACAATCAACAGAAGAATAATGGAGGAGTAATGGATGTCTTTGGTACAGTTAAACAAACGAGCACAATAAAACTATCACTAGTACAATTGGTTATAATAACAATTGTTTCAATTAAACAATCGCGTTCTCTTGGTAAAAGTAGGTCACTACAAACCTACAACATTGGTGATGTTGAGTTGACCTGTTGAAATTTAACCGAGAGGATAGTAGCGTTATCGCAGACAAAGTTGGCAAATTTACATGAATTATTTCGTCAAGCAGATTACATTGTTTGACTTTAGGTCAATAATCAACACCTTTAGTTCAAGCGCACTGTTAATAGTAGACGTGCTGTTACATGAAATGAGTTAATGTTTATGATGGATAACAGTCTGAGTGACGATGATATAGGAAAGCATACGGAGCAACAAGCGATCCTCAATTTTCTTATAGTGTTATCTCAACAATAATTCTTCTAACCCGTAATTTCAATAAAGGAAAACGAATAATAATTGTTTCATGATATACACTTGACTATTTAAATGTGAAAATGTGATATGTAATATACATATATACATATGTAATAGATAAATCTAAGAAACCTCCATACAGCCGTGTTCAATTAAATATGTGATATGGAAAGCACACATTTAAAAGTAAGAAAACTCAGGCAATTGTGAAACCAGAAAATGTTTCTTGGCATAGGAGAAACGGTGTTCTTTACACAAATAATCCGAAAAATCAGCTAAAACCTAGATACTCAGCAAACAGTTGATTAAAGTAAGATCTGAGACAGCTGAAGGAACTTCATATGACAGCAGAAAAACGACTGAGCACTAAAATTGTAAATACAAGAGAAAAAACGATCTCACATAATCTAAATATAATTTTACACATGTGATTGAGGAGATTAAGAGCTATAATATTGAATTCACATTTAAACAAAAGTGTTGTCATGCCGAAAGTATGTCGAAGGAATGTTTACATACACGTAGGATATTTCAGGTATGGTATGTGAATCAAAATGTCATCTTCTACACTCTATGAAGTTGGCTAGCTACAACATTACTAAAAATATATGAAAGTATTATACAAGAATAATGAGAAGCGCTATTTTCTTTTATATTGCAGCAGACAATTTCGTGACTCAATTGAAGATCTTAACAATGATCGAAAAAATAGGCACGAAAGCAGGTATTTTAAAATCAGATCATCATGAAGTGAGGACTACACTGGAAAACTTATTAAAGCAATATTTTGTGGCTGGAGGCCATGAATGATGAAATTCTGGAGAACTGACGACTAAAACTTCAATGTGATTGGATTGGTCTATGGTTTGTTCGTACTTATTTTTTATTTTGTTGCGTCTCACTGTTGAGAAACTAAGTTTTATTTCATGACAATGATACTAGAACGGAGAACGTTGTTTGCTCAGGTTTATCTTTGTTACTGAAAAATTAGTTTTTCTGAATTCATTCAGTTTTGTCACGGTCTGCAACTCTGGTTACTCAGAACGCTTTAATTTTGATTAATTAATTAATATAGTACCATGTAACGAAGGTTAGATTCATATAACTAAATACACCAAAAACTCTCCTGCTTATAAACTGAAGTGAACTAGTTCTGTTTTATTATCACAAATAGTTTCGATGTAGTTTTATAATAAAATGTCTGCAATCACATGTACGATTTTTGTAGATATGATCGGCATATTTTGAGCTCAATCAGTCTTTAAATTAATACGAAAGGTAAAATTAAGTATTACAATAACTGAAGCTAAATCTGTAAATACGAACTTTCATCTTCAGTGAAATAGTGATTAGAACGCATATTGTAAATTTGTTCACCAATAAAATATACAACAAGGAATTTACTTAAATAATTTTATGCAAATCAGAAATCTGGTTAACGTCTTTTTAGCGAGTTGGTTTTCTACGAGATTACAGCGGAGGAAGCAATCAGGAGGAAACTTTGGAAGTGGATAGGACAGACATTGAGAAAAGCACCCAACTACATCACAAGCCCAGTCTTCACATGGATTTTTCAAGGTCAAAGGAGAAGAGGAAGACCAATGAACACAATACATCGAGAAATGGAGACAGACATGAGAAGAATGAACAAAAACTGGATAGAACTAGAAAGGTAGGCCCAGGACAAAGTGGGTTAGAGAATGTTGGTCAGCGGCCTGTGCTCCATTGGGCGTAACAGGCCTAAGCAATTAAGTAATTAAGTAAGCAACTAACTAAATAAGTAAATAAATCAGAATTCATAATATTATGTTTGATAACATTGCAAGGCAATATTATAATAAATATGAAATATAGATGATTAATCACAAGTTTTGTGATGAGTGCTACACAAGTAGTATATAACGATAGTCAAGGATAAAATGTATTTCAGTAGAAGATCGAGAACGAAAGCAATTGGTACGAAAATTCAGGAACAATGAAATCTGAAACGATGGACTGATATTTGCAAACGAAAAAGTCAATGTTTGAGACAATGGATTAATATTTTTTCAAATGAACTATTTATTGTATTAAGCTGGGATTTTAGTGAGATGTTCTGTAATTTCATTTTCAAAACACATTTGATTATCTCCACTCATGTTCTTGTTCACTACAGTTTTAAATACTGATCTAATGGTTATTTAAAATTCAAAATATACCCATATTGTATAAATTGTATATTTATTCAAAATAAATGGATCATTTGATAACCAAACAAAACTAATGAAGGTCAATCTAACAATGAATATTTTGTTTTGTTTCTTCAATAATAATAATAATAATAATAATAATAATAATAATATGGTACAAATATATTGAATGCTCCACGATTAAACTAATCCAGCTCAGAGAATAAAACTCTATCAACATTGAATATAAACTATTTGATGTAAATAATTTATCAACAAACACCAATTGTTTTTAATATTTATTAAATTTTTTATTTATTTGTCTACGATGAACAATCATGAGAAGTACAATGATGGTAAATAAATTTTTTAAAAAAATAAATAAATAAATAATATTAAACTATAAATATAATCCCAATAACCATTGAGTATAGATAGATAAGGAGTTATTTAATAAGAAATAAACTATAATAATAACAATAATAATAGTAATAGTAATAGTAATAATAATAATAATAATTATAATTATAATTATTATTATTATTATTATTATTATTGGGTGATATGATATAAATAGTTTACTTTCCACTTTAATTAAAACTCAATAATTAAATTGTTAAAGGAGATGAGTATATTTGATTAAAATCTTATATTCATAAATATTTCATCATTTATTTGTCAAGATTCTTCATTGGAAATCTAGTAATTTAACACAAACTATGTTCAATTACGTTTGTTTGTTCCTTTCATATTCATTATTGTGGAGTATTCAATGTGAACATCAAGAATTCAGTTCTTTTACTAATACTACTAAATCAACAAGTGTTGCTGATAACAGATCAATTCAAATTAAAGGAATTCTTCCAGGTGTTGGTTTGTTTATTGGAATTTTATTTATTCTTATATTACTTATAAAGTGTTGTAAGCCTGATAAATTAAATAATAATATGAGTCGAAATAAAATATTATTTTCACATCATGATGAAACTAAAATTTGGTCGACAAATTTAGAAAATGAAACTACTCAAGAGTACGATGATTTACAAAATGACAATGATGAATATAATTGTAATGAGAATACCATTACAAATAGTTCTGCGTATATAATGCAGTCAATTGACGATGATACGTCATCATTGGACTTGGAAACACAAGAGATGGATAAAAACAAGTGGTGTACTATGTCAAACAATGTTACATCATTCACAATGGAGAAAAAGCAGACATAGAACCAGTGTTTATACATAAATCATTTCAAATCTAATACATTCTCAATAACTGGCAAACATAAATCAACCGTAACGAAACAAGACAGTGATAGAAATGAAAAATGATTAGATCAAACGACTTAACTGGTTATATATTTCATTTGTTTATACATTCATTGACACTAATATATTTATATATACGAATTTCAATAATTTCTCAAGTTTAATCGGATTATTCAAAATATAACGTCCGGTAACAAAAATTGATAGCTATGAGATATTTCTTCAGAGAAGTCATGAACATTATAATCACTACCTAGTAATATTATGTTTTTTTAAAAATGAACTCAAATGGTATTGATTAATACACATATATTTTCACTTTAATTAATGTTACATAATAATGTAAATAGTCAGATCATAATTACCCCGACCCATTGTTAACAGAAAGGAGTGAACTGAAAAATAAATAATAAAAAAAAAACAATAATGAAAAATAAATTAGTCATTTGAAGGCTTAAAAGAAATAACTTGATGTTTATGTTTTCATTTAAATAACAATCTTATGTAATGGCTTTAACAATGATTATTAGTAGTATAATTAGACCGTTGATTTCAGACAGAGTAGTGAAATAACTTGTTTAAGGTTAGTTGCTTATCATTCGTCTAATGTAGTTATTATGAATTTTATTCTTGAATATTGAGTCCAGAATAACTAAACAGTGATGTCAATCAACAGCATTTAGCTACATTTAGTATTATCTACAGAAATAGTTATAAGTTAGTAAGAAGATAACTGGGTGAACTAGTCAATCGGGTAGACAATAACAAATGACTATATAAGTATGAATAAAAGGAATAATTAAAGTAATCAAAATTTTGTAAGAATATATAAAATTAAGCAGATGTTCAGGGTAATGAGAAAGGCGTACAAATTTATGATAAATACGAAGACTAGGTATTTTGTTTATATTACTTTGTCTTTTATTTTATGCAAAAGTATCAATCTTACGGCATATGGTGTGCCTGACGTGATTCAAATAATACCCTTACAAGCCGCATTAGCGTAAATTCGTATTTCTCTGTCACCTAAATATGTATATGTCAGGTTAATTTTGAAGGTCATCTTCTAGAGTTGGATTTTTTATCGCTTAGCTGAAAAATTAAGAATGATGCCTCATTGAGTTGAATATTTTTTTAAAGCATTCAGTATATGTTGTGTCACGATTTTTCTTACTACATTACACTTATATGTATAGAAAAGTTTAGAAGATACTGATCGCTTAAGATTGTTAATATTAATGACTTACATACTTACTTACTCATGCCTGCTGCTCCTCGTGGAGAAGCATAAGCGTCCCACTAGCACTTTCCATCCAACTTTGCCCTCGGCAAACCTTTTCAGTTCTTTCCAGTTGATACTTATTCTTTTCATGTCTGCTTCCGATTCCAGACGTCATGTGTTGTTTGACCTTCCTCTACTCCGTTTCCCTTCAGGAATCCAAGTTAGGAATTGACTCGTGCTATAGGTTGGTCACTTCCGTAATGTATGTCCCATCCATTTCCAACGTCTTATCCTGATCTCCTCCTGAGTTGGAAGTTGGTTTGTCCTTTCCCACAGTAGAATGTTGCTGATGACATCCGGTCAACGGATGTTGAGTATTTTGAGTAGATAACTATTTATAAATACTTGAATCTTCTTGATGATGGTTGCAGAGTTTCTCCATCAAATGTGATTGGGTCGGTATTCTCTGTGTTGTATTTGATAATCTTGATTATGTCTTTGTGTATGTTGATGCCTACTGATGTAGAGGCTTCTGCTTCACTAGTTGTCTTCATATGGATTTGTTTGTGTGTATGGGATAGAAGAACCGTATCATCTAAGAAGTCCAAATCTTCTGATTCATTCCGAGCTATCCATTGTATTCCGTGTTTTCATCCAGATGTAGAGATCTTAATAATCCAGTCGACGACCAGAAGAAAGAAGAAGAGTAAGGGAGAGAATAGGCAAAATTTTTCGGACTCCGTTCCTTACTTGGAACGAATCTGTCAACTGTCATCCATGCACCTGAAGGTATGCTCCATGTTAATGTACATTCAATAATAGAAAACTTATAATTTCAGCTATTTACCAACTCACTATATTGCATCTATCTTACTTTGCATAATGTTGTAGCATTGGTATGTTGTATAATGTCGATTGTTTTATTCAAACATCTTTCCATCATCTTCTCACACTGAAATCAAAAATAAAATAATCAAATAAATTCTAAGACAAACTAAACATTTTACAAAAGTAATGAATGCACCTTTGGAAATAATTATCATAATGCTATAAAGTTAATAGACATTTTGAGAATTTAAACGTTTATAAATTAAACTTTTAGGAACGACTCGAACACGTAATTAATAGATCACTTTTATGGCAAATCTAACGTAAAAGGTATTCTTATATATATTGAATTATAGCTCTAATTGTTATGATCTGATCTATATGACATCATGAAATACGATTGCCAATTTAGATACGCTGACTTATGCGATCAAACTAATGACGCATACACCAGTATGAGCAGCCCAGAGTTCCGATTGGTCCTTTGTCCGTCTAATACTGTCTATTAAATCCAGAACGTCAATCTCGATCGCCAAGATACGAATCATATATTTCGAAAATACTTGGTTTATATACAAGCAAATCAGACCACATCACATTATAAAGCAGAGAATAACATTTGTACAAGTTCAAGCCAAAAAGTGGCTGTGACTGTCAGAGACTCTGACTAATACATTGAGAAGTCTTTTCATGAAAACTGAATAAATACAACAACAACAAAATTTAGTTTACCTGATGTCTGAAAAATAAATAAAATGCACAAGTTGATTTAATATATTTTTCAATCTGTTCATCCACTGAAGTTGAGTTTAAATATGTTTGCCATTTGGTAATATATTGTATACACATAGAACAAGCTAAGTAAGAGAGTGACAGATTTTCATTGATCGAAAATTGGCTTACTAGAATTGTCGTTTGATTGGTAATTAACCGATTCTTTTATGTTCGACATATCCACATCCTAAAACATGTAAATTTGTAAAATAAATAACTGTGAAGAGTGAGACCCTGTGCTTGTTATATTTCTATCTACAATTTGTTAAATGTCAAGTTATGTAGTAAATATTGAAATAATCATAGTCAAAAGTAGAAGATCACTTATTTTATTCATGTTTAGAATGAAAACTGGTTATTTAACAATCATCATGACATCCTAATGCACAAAATGACGTTTAACATTTGCGACCAAAATATTTTGATAGAAGTATTGTGTAATATACACCTGAATCGAGCTTCGATTCATTTAGATGTTTAAAACAATTTCATCAATTGTTTTCTTAATCATGACAAGTGGTCGTGAATCGTGTTATTATCATTACCGACTTATACATATCGTCAATCTTCGCATATACTTATCAACTTAACTAGCGTCAACAAATAACGGAATTAAATAAGTCAAATACCAGAACGAAGTTTTGAATACTTACATTTCATACAATGGTTGATCCAGATAAGCGATAAGAGAAACGAAGTGAAGAGAAGAGAACAGAACCTAAATGTTTCTGTACGACAAAATAAAACTATTATCTAGTTCCGAACCCTATATGGAAATAGATCTTACAAGTACATAGATAAAAGAAAGTCCGCTGATATATTAAACAGCTTTGATTAGTTTTGAGATATTTCTCCACTTTAATACCATAAGTCTGATTAATTATTACAATTGATAACTGAAGATTTATAATTGTTTGTCATATGTGTTTCACTGATACTAGTCGAAATCTTATTGTTTATCTAAATATAACATTTTAAAAATTCAATAATATATTTGTTTTGTCGAAGTAAAGTGAAATGTATGATTATCAAAGGATTACTATTGTTTACTACTTTGCATTCATATGATTGTTCATAGAAAACCCTACTTATTTTAAAATACAAGACACTCAAGTTTCATAGGAGAAAATCCAATACTAAAGATGCTTGAATGGATTTCGATTATTAGTTTTTAACGCTTATATATTTCACTGATTGAAATCATGTGTCGATTGAAACTAGACCACCATGGGAAACCTGGAAGCACTGGACGGCCGTTTTGTCCACGATCCCATACCCCACGAGATTCAAACCCAGGACTTATCAGTCTCGCGCCAGGCGCTTAACTAACTAAATCACTGAGCCGGCATCCAACGGTGCAAATGTCTAACTTCAACCAATCCACAAAGCTGCGCCACCTTATCCTATTGTCTTCAGTGAATTGATATCTCACAATAGACCCGGTTGAACTCCACTGGTAACAGCTTCTCAATAGAACTCCAGGAGTATCTCTTGAAGTCAGTCACTAGTGCGCGGATGATTATTATCAGAAGGGGTTTTGTGGAGATTTTAGAAATTTCACAGATTGAAATCGTGAGTCAATTGAAGCTAGACCACCATGGAAAACCTGAAAGCACTGGATGGCCGTTTATTATCTCCATTTTATTGAAATAAATTCGATTCCCAATAAACGACTAAAAAAACCCAGAGTAATGAGGATTGAAATAAGAATAATATAATACACAGTATATGTATATATAAACTGTTATCAGAAAGGTTTACCTTGATAGTGTAGGATAAGGTAACTCCAACTTGAAAAAATAAGAAGCAAAACAATAATTAATCATTATTCAACTTTAAAATATGCATAATCATACTTATCATAGTGATTATAACATAGATAAAGTATTTCATGTTGCTACAAAATAGTTTCTATTATTTTGCATAAAATATAACTGACATTTATATTCATACAGAATCTTTCTTGTTACATTATTCAATATTATTATACACAATATAGTTTGAAGTTCAATCTCGTTCACTTCTATATTAGGTAATGTATTTTAATATGTAATTAATTGTTTATTATTTTTATATACTAATCTGTTTAAAGTTAATTCAAGTATTTCGTAGGCAAATAAAAACGAAAAGTGTAATTCACTAAAAATATTTTGTTAATACGTTTTTTTAAATAAAAATAAACATTTATGAATGTGACGCATTTTCTACCTGATCCGATCACAGCTTATCTGATCAAATTTCTATGAAGAAAATGTTTGATAAATTTTAAAAATGATCACATAACAATCATATTTCTTTCATTTAAGAATAATGAACAATAAAGTCCAACACATGAATGTATAACAATTATTCACTATGTTAATGGTATTGTAGTGAATGAAAACATATTTGGGGGGGGGACAACCAGAAGTACAACATTACAGAATCTCTTAGTAAAATCTGACAACAATACAGTAATACTTCATTTGCAAAATATCTTTCAATTGTCTCTGACTTCATTGTTCTTTAGTTACTATATCAATCATTCCCTGTTCTCATTCTATTTCTGCCATAAGGCATTTCACTTTTGACTGGTATTATATACCATTTATATCTATCGACATAAGTAAAACACACAACAGTATCAGGTTCTTTAATAATTGAATTCATGAGTCAATTGAAGCCAGACTACCATAGAAAACCGGAAACAAATGGACTACTGTTTCATTCTAGTATGGAACTCCTCAGCAGTGTGCATCCACGATCGCGCATTGCAAGATTTGAACTCAGGATCTATCAGTCTCGCTCGTGAACGCTTAACAATGTTAATGTCTAACTCCAACCAATCAGTTTCATCAATAATGATATAACCATCATCATGAAAATGATAAAAGTTCAAACATTTAAAATGTTAGAAAACTCTCAACTCAACAATTCTCAATATAACTTGACTCACTGATTTATAATATTTCCTGGTTATTATTCTGAAGATGATAGTTTCAATCACAATCGAGCAATAAGAAGACACTTATGTAGCTATTATGGTTAATTTTGAGGAAAACGTCTGGACTGAACTATGTTAAGACAAAAAGCAAGAGATAAACTTGAAGAAACATCTATATTAATATCACTTAAACTGAGAGATGTCAAATCAACCAAATAACTACGTAGATCAGCTCACTGTTTGTCAAAAGCATCTTTATGGTAAGATATGAGTCAGAGAAACGACTGGCACATTGATAAATCTTCAAAGATGTATTCTATAAATTATCGAGATCGGCATGTTCTAATAAAGTAATGGTTTGATGGTAATCCTATGAACTATTGGAGTTTCATACGGAATTTCAAAGACTGTTTCGGTGAAAATGTTAGATGCCGAACTAGGTTAAGCTATTCGATTCAGTATTGGGACGGTGAAGTCAAGGCTATTATTGTTCACTGTTGATTGCTCGCACCAGGAGTTGGTTATCGTAAAGCGTTTGGTCAGAAGCACGTCGTAGCTCATGCATTTATTGATAAGATGTTGAAAATCCCTAGTATAAAGGGATAATTTCAGAAGATTGTCTCCTGAAATACAGAGTAGTGGGCTAACGCTCAGGCAATTGACCTATGTATACTATCTGAATTCTACAAGACTATCGAGAGTATGGATGGAGAATACAAGTGGGCCGTCTATGCTCCCCCACTGGGGGTCCAAAGGCGTAAATAATTCACTTGCTAATAACAGGGTGTAGTATCTCACTGCAAACAAATAAGTCACTAAGAGGCAAGTATGCCAGATTATATTGACCTCATAAATTCACTGCTATTTAAAACAAACTGAAAACATTTTTTATCAAAAACTGACAAATACCGGCTTTTGATAACAACTTAAAATTTACGAGTACTTGATAAAAGGTTCCACTGAAACGGCCAGAAAAATTGAATCTTTCTGTTTCTTTTTTAGACTTTTACGAAATCTTTATTTCACGTGAGTATGATTCCCATTGCATCTCATCTCAGTCTATATCATTAATTTAAACACTTCGTCTTTTATTTGTTTACTTAATTACAACCCACCAATCCATGATACATAAAGCTATATACAATTCACTCAATGTTTTGTATTTTTCTCTTACAAACGTAAAATGTAATTATGACTTATTTTCTCTTTTCTACTGCACTGGTGACGAAATGTGCTTTGATCAGTTTAAGACAGATGACTTTGAATTTCTCGCCAATAGATATTATCATTAATTGATTGTTAATATTAAAGGTATTATGATTTATTTCGGTGTCGACCGGTAATCAAATCCTAGATGAATGTTTCGTCTTACACTGCATTTCCTAGCTGTGTGTATTAGCATAACAGCGTGAATATTTGCACAGAAATTCAATTGACATAAGAATCGTTTCAAACAATAATGAGTTGTCTATTGAATTACTATGTTCAGATGAATAGCTATTTGTTCAAAGAGTGTGATAATAATGTACATGTGTTGTTTATTTATTCTTGATTATAAAGAGCACAGTAATACAAACAAGTAAGAATAACATCGTCTCACATCTTTTTGATCATTTTTTTTATTTACAGTTATATTTATAACTTGTATATCATTATGCCTTAAGTTTTTATCAAAGTGTGTTAAGCAAACAAGCAGGATAATAATAAGCTAGATACTTTAGAAATAAATGACTTATAACAATATAGCATGATGATATCTTCACACCGTATTCAACTTCACTTGGTATCCTTTAAACAGGTATTCCATCAACGGTAATCATTGTGGCTTACAGAATCAACCATCATCATGAATGATATGAATAATAATGATCTCTCTGAAGCCTTAATTATTCCGTTAGGCTAAAACTAATCTCACTCAATGCTTTCAAACTCTAAAATGTTATAGACAATATAGTTTCTTCATAAAATTTATTTTGATGTTACGTGAATTCTTTACTAATAACTAAAATGTTATTCGAATATTATATGGATGAATTTTTTGAATAAACACTTAATGAAAACGTGTAACGTTTTTTAGACTAAATTTATCGCGTCGGTGAGCATCATTAACATATTTAGTATCGGAAGGGTTTTTTAGATTTTGTGTAGTTCTCGTGAGAAGTAGTGACCAGTGGAGCTCAACCGGGTCTGTTGTGAGATAGTAACTCACTGAAGACATTGGTGGATGTGTCCCTCAATTTCGTGAATTAGTTGAAGTTAGGCATTAACACCGTTGGATGCCAGCCGGCTCAGTGGTCTAGTTAGTTGAGCGTCAGGCGCGAGACTAATAGGTCCTGGGTTCGAATCCCGATAGGTGGGGTCGTGCATGCTCACTGCTGAGCAGTCCCACAATTGAACGAAACGGCCATCCAGTGCTTCCAGGTTTTCCATAATTTTCTAGCTTCAACTGACTCATGATCAAAACTACTAAAAATTAACATATTTGTTTCTTGTATGAATGATACAGGGTAAACATAGTCCGTTTATTGAATCATGTGTCATCCTCTTCTAGAAGAAAGAAATCCAAAGATATTTTGACTAATGCATCAAAATCTATTTTGATGTACGTAAGCGTAACATTTTGTTCTTTCTGTATAGCTTCCAAATAGGAAACATTTCAAATTTGAATACAATCAGAAATTAATACGCGGTTAAAAATGGTTGTGTCCCGATAAGAATAATGAGTGCTAATTTTTTGGGATCTATTTATGAACCAATATTGTGCGTATACTTTCCTCGTATAATTGTTAATTAGCTAAACTATTCATATTCATGTCTTTCTTATCATAAGCTTTATTTTAACCTATGAACTGTTATTATACGATTTTTCATTCTTGAATTATTCCCTGTCTATCAATCACTACCTCCCACATTCACAGCCAAATTTGACCAAATTTTGTACAAATGTTATTTTCTATTTTATGGTACGATGTGGTATATAAACTCGGTATGTTTGAAATATAATTATTCATATCACAGAGGCTGAGACTTGTGTTCTAGACTTAACTGGTTGGGCTAGGCAGGAAGCAGGGACAATCAGGACTCTAGGCTGCTCGCACGTATTTTACGCGTCCTTGGTACGATCGATAAGTCACTGTCCTCTAATCGGCGGTCACAAGTTATAACAAAAATAAAACGTATCTAGTTGTTACTTATGATTTTCCTTTATTAGCTTTCTTCAATATGCCAACTAATACAACTCATTTTGTGTGTGGTTATGTATTTACGATTAATTTGCAATAATGTATTTTACTTGTTTGTTTCATTGAAATCATCAGACATAACACATTTTGAGGAATTTCATCAGCTGATTAAAACGGCTGAAAATGTAGATGAATAAAAAATTACTGTTCATATAAAGTTGGAAAGAAACTGAACACTACAGCAATAGAAAATTGGTTATAAATAGCTTTTCATATATGATCAAACAGATCAAGCGGACGGATAGGGGTACAGTGAGTTCATACAGACTTATCACTGTTATAAACATTATAAATAAATTGGATACGGTATATAAAAACGATGGCATTAAAAAAAGTGCCGAAAACAGGCATAGATGAATAAGTTACAGTTTCTCTCGTTTTGATTACTTAATCTCTGAATCACCTGCTTTTCAACTATGTGAATATTCCGGTACATTTGAATGACATGGATTTAGAATAACATATATGAGCGAGCAATATTATTTTCGATTAGAGCCTCAGCAGGCATGGAAAGCTTATAATCATTCATGAGCTTAATACCTGACTATTCAAACAGGATATACTATCATAAATAGTTTATGTTATTCCTTTTCTATCTTTTGAACAGTTGAGACGAGGTTTAATATACCACGTTTGAAAACTTATGTTACTGAATGGACGAAACACGTGTCCTGGATTCCACTGCTAGCGACTATCCATCTTTGCTTATAGTGCTTAGGAATTAAGAC